ACATACCGCTGTGGAGGTGAGTTCACTTTCATCTGTGGAAGTCTGCTCAGCTTCATGAGAAAGGTTTTCTTGTGTTGGCCCCACATCTACACCTGGGAGCTACTAGCTCTTTGTTTCTGGAGCAGAGAGACCGAGGCTGCCTCGGTCTCTCTGCTCCCTGGACTGAGGTAGATTCTCCCCTCCCCGCTTCACACACCCACCCTCTCTGACTAAGCAGGACCCCTTAGTTCTGTAATCCAGGTTCCCATCTAAAAATCATGACTATTACTCCTGGCCTTGTTTCCATTACTGGTATCATTTGTTCTTTTGATTCCTTCTGTCCCTGAATTTAATGATGCTTGATAATAGCCTATGCAATAAAAGGCTAATATGTAAATCGACCGAATGGCAGAATGACTGGTCGCTATGATGCGCACTGACACCAGGGGGCAGACGCTCAATGCAGGAGCTCTCCCCTGGTGGTCAGTGTGCTCCCTCAGGGGGAGCGCCACTCAGCCAGAAGCCAGGCTCACGGCTGGCGAGCGTACAGCAGTGGCGGTAGCCTCTCCTGCCTCCGAGGCAGTGCTAAGGACCCCTCAGGGGATGTCCTACGGCCACAGGGAGTGGGCCTAAGCCAGCAGGCGGACATCCCCTAAGGGGTCCCTGACTGTGAGAGGGCTTAGGCTGGGCTGAGGAACCCCTCCCACCCCCCAGTGCACAAATGTTGTGCACCGGGCCTCTAGTTGTTTAATAATGCTTAGTAATGTTTGATAATGTTTATTGTTTTCTGTTCCTTTCTTCACAATTCCTACTGCAACCATCATGGGTTATGCCCTTATGTCTGACTATATCAATAATCTAGCATGTTCTTTCTTTTTATTGAGTTTATTGGGGTGACACTGGTTCATAAACTTTATAGGTTTCAAGTGTACAATTCTATAACACATCATCAGTATACTGTATTGTGTGTTTACCACCTCAAGTTAAGTCTCCTTCCATCACCATTTATGCCCCCCTATACCCTCTCTACTCAATCTAGCTTGTTCTTTTCAGTCCTGTGACTCTCCTCATTCCATTGCTGCCCAAAGAATCTCTTTAAAATTGCAGTGTGGTCAGACCTCCCCCGAGCCCTAAATTAGTCTTCTACTCCCTACCAGATTAACTAACCCGAACACTTACAGCCCTTGATACTTGCCCTCCATCCCTCCCCAACATCTGTAATCTTACCTCCCACCATGCCCCAGCCCTCTACACTCCACTGAGACTCCCCTGCCCAGCAGGGCTGGCTAATCGCTGTCCTGCAGACATGCCTTGTCATCTTGCCCCAATGCCTCTGCAGTCCTCATTCTTCATCCTCTCCCGTGATGACAGTCTGGTTTTTTAAACATAACTCCGTTCCCTCCTGCCTCGCCAGCCTGGAGTGACCTGGTGCACCCTCTGCAAACACCACTTCGCTGGCATTCAGTCACACAGTAGTTCCTATTATAGTTAAATTGTCACATCTGAGAGTCTTTTCAAATAGATGCAAGTTACATAGGGCAAGTCCAGTGTCCTCACACTTTTTTGTGTGACCACAGAGCCCAGGATTCTAGATGCTGGTTGATGTCCCCATGGATAGATTCCATTTTTTCCAAACAGAGGAGCCTACAGAAAACAGAAAGAATAGAGGCACCCCTGCTTGAATGCATAACCATGTTTGCCTAAAACCAAATACCATATGAAATCCCAAATTTAAAATAACCACGGAGACATTTTAACAGCCAGATTTTATCATCGTTGAAAGGGAGATGAATTCTTTTACATTTTTCACATCACCTAGGTCTTTGTGGCCTTTTAGAAAGGCTTTTCTTGCTCTAGCCAGTGACTCGGTGGTTAGAGCATCGGCCCTCACACTGAGGGGTCGAGGGTTCTATTCCCAGGCAAGGGAATGTACCTGGGTTGTGGGCTCGATTCCTGGCCCTGGCCTGGGCAGGTGTGGAAGGCAACCAATTGATGTGTCTCTCTCCACATTGATGTGGTTTTTTTTTTTTCTCTCTCTCTCCCCCCTCTCTCCCACTCTAAAAATCAATGGATATTTTTTCATTGGGTGAGGATTAACAAAAAATAATAATAACAAAAATAGAGTTTTCTTTACTGTGGCTGAAATTTCCAGGTCAAGCTCAGAAATCACATAACAGTGATGACGTCTTTCAACCTCCAACATGGTGGTGTGGTGGCTGGTGTTAGGTGGTTAGTTATTCAAACAACCCGAAGGAGAATGTATGACTGCAACTGAACTGGTAGATGCTACCCAGGTGTGGGTTCTGACTGAGGGGACTCCTCCCCATCTACCTGAGGGCTTTGGATGGAAAGTCCTGGCAGTCACACCTGAGGACTCTGAGATAAACAGGGCTGCGGTGCAAACCCAATAGCACGTGAAGAGCAGACAGGCTGAATGCTAATACCCTGAATGCCAACATGCCTGGATTTTAGGAGCAAAGGACTCCCACTGTTTTATTGGGACTGACCTCATGTTAGAACATCAAGTAACTGAATTCAGAGCAGGGAGGGAAAATGATGTTCCCCTAAGCAACTCTTGTGAATGGTTGGGAGGAGCTAGGTTAAGAAGACTCCCCTATAAGTGTATCCTGAACGATCAGCCAGAACCGCCAACCAGGAGGGAAAGGATGGCGGCTGCCTGCCATTTATTTGCGATGCTGACTCAGCGTCCTGAATCGGGCTCTCCCGAACTCAGGCTCCCTGGAGCCTATCCGTCCTCCAGGGCCCCGGTCAAGCGCCCCTCTACCCCGAGGCTCATCCCGCCAGCTGCGGCGTTCTCTCTCAGGCTTAATTCAGTGGTAGCCTCTGTATCACCCACTGGCACTTCACACCTGCTAGACAGTCTTGTCTGGTCATCGTATATGTCACATACGTCTGGAGAGGAAGGAATCCCCTGAAAAGTGGATTGCACCTCGCTGTGGTCAATCCAGCGGGCACTGAGTTATGTTTATGCTAAAATGGAGTTAGAAATCGCAGGACAAGTTATGAAATAAATGGGTCCTGGAATATCAGAAAATGAGGGAACTGCATCCCTTCTCCCCTCCCCTGCCTGCCCGTGTGTCCCTGGAGGTGGTGCAGGCGGAGCTTCATCTGGGGGTTGGGGTCTGCTCTGGGCGAGGGGAACGCTTCTGAGGGCTTCAGAGCCAGAACTTCCTCCGGGAAGAGAGAATATGCTAAAGGTGCAGGCTAGCTTTCAGATGGAAGCGTGGGTACCACCTGGAAACCGTGTGGGTGGAAAAGAGGAGCGTTTCCGTGTTAAGCCAGATGGCAGATTCCTCCGCTTCTTCCTTGTAACAGAACTCGGATTTAGTGTAAGTGTCAGAGGCCCTCTGGGGAGCCCGGGCCCCTTTCCAGGCCCAGGGGGACTCCGATTCGTCATTCATTCTCTTCTTGGCCGTGACGGTTTAGGCATGAACACACCGTGCCGTTCTGGCCAAAGCTGCAGGGAGAAGCATGCTGGGGACTCCTGACAAAGGTTTGATTCATTCCTGAGAAGGGCCGCATGAGGTGAAACTTCCTTTTCTCTCCTTTGGATGCTGCTGTATGAGGATCCGATGCTTGGAGCCACAGGAGCTGTCTTACAATCCGAGGGGACCTGTGAGGTCCCCAGGGTGGCGAGTAGAGAGATGAGAAATACCTGTGTCCTTGATGACTGTGTCGAACCCTGAGCTAAATCTGGAGAGTCCCCACCCCCATGTTTCTTTCCCCACATTCCATCCATTTTACATTTTAACCTTTCTGAAATTAGGATGCATGTTTCATGGCCTGTTAGTCACAATGGCAGCGTTTCTTCTTTTCTTAGTGGAACTGAAAATAATTGGGTGTTTACAAAAAGGCTGCATCTAAGACTTGATGAGGCGTGGGATTCCTTATCGCTGTCCATCTTTTAGTAGGTTTGCTGTTACTTTCCCTTAAGAGTGCCCTCATGAGCCTGGTTGCTCTCCTCAGAGGAGGGGTGGGGTGAGAAGGGCAATGGAAGAGGGGGGAACACAGTTGGGAGCGGCCCTTCGTGAGGACGTCCCTGGCTCTGCGAGGGGCCTGGACGTGGTCCCTCCCTGGAAGCAGCCCTGCTCTTTTTGGGGTTTGGGGCACACAATCTCTGCAGAAACCGGCCTCACCCAAGCACAGAGGCACCACATGCCACCGAAGTGCACTCTGCGCTGGTGTGGAGCTTAAAGGGGCGGCGGCATAGGGCCGTCACCTGCACCGACAATGGTCTCAGGTGTGTGAAACCTAGAGTCCAGGAAGGAGAGAGAGAGAGAGAGAGAGGAGAACTCTAAACCCAGGGGGAGGCTCAGCTCAGCCCACTTAGCACGTTGTCTCTGAATGGGAAGCTACACCCTACCCCATGCCCCTCACCCTGTTCCTACAGCTGCAGGGAGCTGAGCGGTTGCTCCTCTCCCACTGAGGCCTCCTTCCCAGGACAGCCCTGCCCTCTCTCCCCTACCCTCCCTCTCCTATCCTCTCTCCTGCCTACCCCCACCCCGTCCTCTGCAGTCCCTAGTCACAGAGGGACTGACATTAGCACCTCCAAACCCTGTCCAAAGCTGTCTCTTCATGTTGAGTTCTGTTTTTGTCCTAGACAATTTAGGATACAAGACCACGAAGTAGAACCCTGACCCTGCAGGGCCCATCCCTCCAGATGGCCGAGTGAGTAATGGAGCGTGGATACCCACTTCACTGGGGCAGAAGGGAGGTCCAAATTCTTTGGAAATGAATTGTAGTTACATTCTGGGCTGCTTTTCCTGAAGTGGCTGAGAGAAGTACCCTGGGCCAGTCCTCCCACTGGTCTTCCTGGATTTTGGAGAGCAGAGGGGTGAACCATGTGACCGCACTGCCCACCGCAGGCCCAGGTGCAGTCTTCAGGGCGTGGCTTCTCCTTTCTCTTTCCCTCTGTCCCTTCCCCTCCCCAGGAGTCCAGGACGGTCTCCCCAGGCCCCTGGGGCAGCCCTGGCTAAAGCTTAGGGAAGCATGTCACTCACCCACGTAGAAGTACTCTGGGGACTTGTCCCCTGACGAGAAATCCTTCATGGTGCCTCCGAACCGAAACCATAGTCCAAAGGCGATGACAGCCGACCCCGCCAGCTGAAAAGCAAGCAGGAGAGCTTTATAAAGAAGGTGAGGGAAGCGTGTGCACCCAGGAGCGAGCGGTGGCCCAGGGTGCTGGGGGGTGGAAGGCCACATCCTTCCCGTTTCACAGAGGAGGTGACATGAAGTGCTTAGAGCCCCCGGGTCCCTGGTGTGGCGCTGGAACTGGAGTTTCCCCCATTCTGCAGGCTGTCCTGGGGTCATGGGCATACCCAGCCCTGGGCAGCCTGGAGGTGGCTCAGCAAGAACTTTCCAGTACCGGCCCCCTGGAAGGCACCGGTGCCTGCCCCCCTGTCCCTTAAGGGCACTCTGGACCTCCTGACCAACGCCACACAGAGGGGGCAGTGTTTCAGACCTGGGTCACCAAGAGCAGGATGAACTCTAAGACCCGGGGGAAACACGCTTCTCTAATTTGGAAGCAAACACACCACCTCCGACCTGCCCACTCCCCATGGGCGCGCAGTGCCCAGTGAGAGAGCTGATTCAGAGGCATCTGAACCCCCCTCCCCTCCCCTGGGGCCTCCTCGGGTCACGGTCACTGCCCTGCAGGCGGGGAGGGAGCTTGACCGTTTTTTTTTTTGGTTTCTATTTTGAGTTTCCATGGAAAGTGAGAAAGGAAAAAATAATTTTCTGAAAAAGCATGGTCTGTGTGCCGTGCGGTGCGGCTCATGGAGAGGCTGAGTGGCTGGCTCGGGCAGCGGCGGGCAGGCCGGCAGGCTGGCAGCTGGCAGGGTCATCGCCTGCTCCCTGTGGCCACTCTGAGGGCCTCGTGAGGCTCCCCACCGAAGCTGGGACGGTCCCCAATGCCCCGGCAGGCTCCAGCCCCGCACCCCCTTGTCCACACACACCCATCTGGAATTTCATCGGATCAATCCACCCACAGACGTTCGCTGGGCACCTTTGGGACTCAAGGCAACGGGGGCAAGGGTGCTGAGATGTAAAAGTAGCCCCTGGCTCTGCCAACCCCTCCAGTTAGCGTTGGGCTGCCCTGGCCTCTCACCTGGGAACAGGGTAGAGGCTGTTAGAGGCTGTCCCTCCCCCACAGGGAGACAGAAGGACGTGGTCAGCGAGGCCGAGGTTTAATAAGGAAAAATAATATTAAAGTCAGGGGCCGGCAGGGCCCTTTGTCCACGGGATCCTTCTATCCGGGGGGCTATTTGTAAGACCGGCACCACCCCTTGGGGCCAGCTGGCTGGGTTTAATCTGAGGATCTTTCCTTCACGCTCTGTCCCCTCTGGGCCAGCTCCCTCGGTGGCCGGGTCCTCAGAAGCGTGGCGTGACTTCAGCGAGGAGGAGTTAGAGGGCGGCTCGACCAGCTGGAGTCTCTAAGAGTTTCCAGCGCTGAGTTAAGCACTAATTGGATAATGTGCGGGCAGACCCAGGCACTGGGCTCCACCAGCTTGAAAGGATTTTATTTTTATTTTAAAAAAGGGTAACATCGCATGGAAAAATATTGGAAGAAATCATGCTAAAACATTAATAATCTCTATCTTTGAAGGGTGGGATTGCAGGTGACTTTTTCTTTTCGCTCTATTTTCCAAGTCTTCTGCAGTAAGCACCTAGTACGCTTCTAAGTTTTAAAACGTTGTGGTTTTTAAAAGTATAATGTGGCAGTTTGCTCAATCAAGACAAAGGGGGAGAGTTCCCCTTAGGTCGCGCTTTAGTTTGGGAGGAAACCAGCTTCAAGGTCATTGCTGTTTCAGGTGCGGGAGAGAGAGTGATGCCCTTGGGAAAGCCTCGTCCTAGGAGCACCCGAGGCCGAGGGGCGGATGTGCCCAGCAGAGCCTTGGAGGCACCCCTGCCCGCCTCGCCTCCGTGGCGACTTGATGGAAAGAGTTTCCAAACACAAAGTGAAATCTATTGACAGAGGCGTCAGGCCAAGGCCTGCAGCCACCCAGCAGACTGTGGGGGAGGGGACTGGTCCCAGGGACACCCTACCCCGCGGCCACATTTTTGGCAACTCCGTACACAGACTCTAATTTATGGCTGTCTGGATCATCCCCCCAGATGGAATACATTTGTCCTCGACTGGCACAGATGTGTTTGATGCATAATGGAAAATGAAAAGAGAGGTTGCAATTTAAAGCCACGGGACAATGAGAAAATATCTGCACTTTGCTCATCCACGCCCCCCCAAACCCCAAACCACACGGGTTTCCTCCTGAGTCAAGGAAACTGTGGCTTAGCTGAATGTCATCACTGTGTGGAGGGAATCCTCCCGCCCAGGGACACTGGGGAGGACCGGCCAGGCTCCAGGCTGCTCGTGACAGCGGTCACTGCTCTGGAAAGTGGCATTGACAGAGACCATGTAGCCAAAAGGGTCCTTTTAAACTCCCCGTTCCTGTAAGGCTCTTGAATGACTGTGTTCGCTGGGCTTGGGTAGCTCTACTAGAAATTGCTTGAAAAAAACATCACACCAAGTCTAGCCCAGCCAGGAACACAGTGAGCAAGTCCACTGTCATGGAGTCCCATCGCTCTGTGGGTCCCCCATCCTGGAAGAGAAGGTTCATTGAGTGACGTGCCGGAAGCCTGCAGCCCCCTGGAATCCTACGTTTTAACCTTCCTAGAACAAAGCCCCAGCCCCCACCCATACTTCCTTTCCTTTCAGTCTCCGCCACAACACTGCACCCCAGCCAATGTCAGAACAAATAAGGAACACGGGGCGACCTCCTTGGTCCCTTTCCTTCTCTTGTCCCCAGCCACATCTCCTCTCACGTCCTCCCCGTCTTTTAGGGGATCAGCTGTGGTCCTGGCCAGGGACGGTGCTAGCCATTAGGGAAGCGATGAAAAGGACAGGACTCACCCTAACAGGGAAGGTAACCGCAAAACTAACCAATGCAGTACACACAGGCAGTGAGCTCACACTGTCCAGGGACAACCAGTGCTCCGCACAAGCCATTCCATTTTGATTTACATCTGGAAGAATGACTTAGAAGTCCCTGAGCAGGGAAGAGCTGGAGGGAGGAGTGGACAGTGTGAGTAAGGACTTCGATTCCTTACCTGGAACACTGTGTTGGGGAGGGAGGAGTCTGGGGGACGTTAGAGCCTGGGACTTCAGGGGCGAGTTGGCTCATGGCTTCTACTTAGCTTGCTACCAGCTTGGAGAGCCCATGGCTGAGCTTGGAGGGGAGATGGGAGCCACTCCCTTTGTGGGAACCATTAGGAGGGTTGCCTGATGCCAGACACAGTGAGGAGCCGAAGGGAAAGCTCTGGCAAGCTGACAGGACCTCCCTCACAGCCCTTCAAGGGAATACCTGGCCAAGTACTGTTTTCAAATTCATTTGCACCAACACTGTGCAGACACCTCGGAAGGCAGTGTGAACACACTGGAATATACACAGCAAACACTTTCCCCCAGAAAAACAAGACAAACTAGAGCACGTGTGTCAGTTCTATGTTTCCTAAACCTGCGGGGATGTGTGCTTCGCATCATACATGGACACAAAGAGTAACTCTATACATGCCTTTTACAGGCAGGAGCATATGAGCATTTAACACCATTATAGCAACACGCACACTCCACTCAGATGAAAGAATGGACAAAGGCCATACTGGATTCTGGCTTCTGCAGGGTGAACACCATGTATATACAGGACCCAACTCATTTGCATTTCTCTTCTTTGGGATGAAGTCACACAGAGTTGGAAATGACACTTCAACCCTACAGCTGCCATTAAAGGCTTTTAAGCTGATGTGTGCTCTTGGCAATTCTCACCCCGGATGGAGTCACGTGATGAGCACTCACGCTTCCTGACGTGACTGCACACCAGCCTGACACACAGGACAGTGGTCTCGCCCTTCAGCAGGCGGACGGCAGAGGCGCATGTGCTCTGGAAGACGATGCTAATTTCCTCCAAGAGGAAAGCCAGCTCCCAAGGCTTTCATCCCAGTGAAAGCCAAGGCAAGGATTCAGATGGCACGTTCTCAGAATTGAGGATTTTGTCAAGAAACACAGGAGCCCAATGCCACAGGACATCCGTGACAAGCACCCCGAGGACCCTGGCTGCCCTTGTCTCAACGTCAGGACCAGGTGAGGTGGAACTGGGGGCAGGACCCTGGCAGGGGTGAGGAGATGGCTAATCGTAAGATACCCGTGGTTCTGATTCCCCCTAGGACTTTCCTCCTCATAATTTCCTAGGAACGGCGCATGCTAAGGAATTCCTGAAAGACCTCCTTCAGGTAAGGATCTATTTTTAAATCAATCCGTGCTTAATTCTGTGCACTGATGGAAGGGTTCCACACTCCAAACCACGACCACATCGGGAGTTTTATGCATCATGGAGAGAACTTCGGGTTATGTATTTGTGCTAAACATACCTTCTTCTGTTTAGGTTGTTACGAAGTAACCTGCGTGGATCAAGTGGCATTGCCAGGAGACAGTAGAGAGGTGCTGGGGGGATACCACGCTCAGGGGAGGAAACTAACCTGATGAAAAGCTTGCTGTGAATGATGAGGCTGATAAATATAAATAGTGGAAAGTGTGTTGTATTTATTCCATGGTTACACATACTAGTAATGCGCTTTCTCTAGAGAAATATAGGGAGAGGAGGAGGGGAGGAGGGGGCATTGCCAGGAGACAGTAGAGAGGTGCTGGGGGGATACCACGCTCAGGGGAGGAAACTAACCTGATGAAAAGCTTGCTGTGAATGATGAGGCTGATAAATATAAATAGTGGAAAGTGTGTTGTATTTATTCCATGGTTACAGATACTAGTAATGTGCTTTCTCTAGAGAAATATAGGGAGAGGAGGAGGAGAGGAGGGGAGGAGGGACCAGCAAGAATTGGGAGAAAGATGATAGCTGTATAGTTTCCTTTAAACAGCAAAATAAATGTCACAGACCACGGGCTAGTGGTTCCAGGGAGCAGATGGCTTTATCACGTGAACATCAAATACACAGAAAACTAAAATCTAACCCGCCAGGTCACCCAAGTGGCTTACACGTGACGTCTGCCTTCCCTCACCCAGGAGATGAGCTCTCGGAGGACAACAATGGTCTTCTGTGTTCTCTGGACTTCTTCCTCGCAGCATCCAGCTGGCTCTTGTCCCAGGCTCAGCCACTGAGTAAACAGTTACCTGAGGGCTACACTGAACTACTGCGACATCTCATCTCTATCGAGCTTTATGTCAACAAAGACAGGACATTAAACAATATTTACTTAATAGCCTAATATCTTTCAAGATAGCTTGAGAGCCCTGGCCAGGTGGCTCAGTTGTTTGGAGTGTCATCTTGTGCACCAAGAGGTTGCTGGTTCGATTCCCAGTAAGGGCACATACCTAGGTTGTGGGTTCGATCCCCAGTTGGGGAGCGGAAGGGAGGCAGCTGATTGATGTTTCTCTTTGACACAGATGTCTCTCTCTCTCTCTCTCTCTCTCTCTCTCTCTCTCTCTCTCTCTCTCTCTCTCTCTCTCTCTCTCTCTCTCTCTCTCTCTCTCAGCAGTAAAACATACCCTTGGGTAAGGATTAAAGAAAAAGTCTGCAAGAACTACTCTTGAGCAGATAAACAGGATTCTTAAATATCAGTCAATGACAAAGATCATCACCCAATTTTAGTTGTTACAGAGAGACAATGGGAGAATCAGATGTTTCAGCAGAACTCAGGTTAGACTCGGACAAGCCACAGCACTTTATTTATTAAAATGTTAGCTTGGCCGAAACCGGTTTGGCTCAGTGGATGGAGAGTCGGCCTGCGGACTGAAAGGTCCCAGGTTCGATTCCGGTCAAGGGCATGTACCTGGGTTGCAGGCACATCCCCAGTAGGAGATGTGCAGGAGGCAGCTGATCGATGTTTCTCTCTCATCGATGTTTCTAGCTCTCTATCTCTTTCCCTTCCTCTCTGTAAAAAATCAATAAAATATATTTAAAAAAAAAATAAAATGTTAGCTTGGATGGAATCCAGTAGAAATCATGAAAGGCTAGTTTGGTGTTCCAAAGAGATTGTTCTTAACAGCAATTTTACCAGAAACCACTGTGGGCATGAAGGCAGGGGGGGCCGGGCATTTACAGGGGACTGGACAGATTGGAGGGTACACAGGGAGAGCAAGGGGCTTCCTGGGTGAGTGGCAGCAGCTTCCAAAGCCCCTGCCCCTGCCCACAGTGGGACTTTGCCAGCCCTGCCTGACTCTCCAGCTAATCAGCTGACTCCTTCCCAATCACCACTATGATGGGGAGGGGAGGGCTTGGCACACTCTTTGGAACATTTGCCAACTGCTCTTCTAGAAACTTTACCTCTTCTGAGTGTTCACACTGAATAGCGACGCCCTTACACAGGATCTTAACAAAAACACGCGCGTGCACCGAGCTGTGGTGTTGAGCAGCTGGAGGGATGAACACAGGGGCTCCACGGCCTCCTGCTCTATGGTTCCAATCGGGCTCTGCCATGTACTAGTCTGTGATCTTGGGCAAGTCACTTAACCTCTCTCACCCTCAGCTTCCTCGACTGCAAAGTGAAGGTAGTAATAGTGCCTCCCCACGAGATTAAATGAGTTCACGTTACAGACGTAGAGCGGTGAGCGCCCAGCGATTAGTGTTATTATGCTGGGAGGCTTGCTAATGTTACATTCAAACCGAAACGGAACCTGACTCAAGAGACGAAACACCACTCCCAAGGCACCAACAGCCTGGCCCTCCGCTGCCTTCCTCTACTAATTCTGAGGTTCGCTCCACACTCTTTCCATGACACACGGAAATCCCTGAGTTTTCTAAACCTCCTCCCTGTGCCAGTGCCCCCTCCAGGGACGGTTTCCTCTCTCTCTTTGGTTTTAGTGTTTACAAGACCCAAATAAAAGAAAAACAGGGAAAATAAGTTATGAGAGAAAGAATAACTATATGTAGGCAAGAGCTATCCGATAGAACTTTCTCCAGTGATATAGATGCATGTGTTCTCTCTCTGTGCTGTCCAGTACTGTAGCCACTAGCCATCTTGGTTACTGAGCATTGAAATGTGGCTAGTGCGGCTTAGGAGCTGAATATTAGATTTCTTTGAATACTAATTGAATTTGCTAGCCTCGTGTGATTAGGAGCGTAGTCACCATATTGGACAGTGCAGGTCTAGATGCACGTGCTCATCATGGCTTCGAGCTTCTCTCCCCTTAGTCTGCAGCCTTGGAGTGGTTACCACCACTGAGTCTGGGCCACACACAGAAGCCCAGATCCGTGCTGGCTGGTTCCGAGTCCCTGAGCAAGCCTCCCTGTTTTGTCACATGTAAACTGGGGGTGACAGCTGAGGGTCACTGTGAGGATTAAATATCCAAAATGTAAAGCTACCAGCCCACTCTCTTCCCACCTTGACAAAAACCAGAAATAAAGACTATCCCGCAACAAGGCCCAGGAAATTCCTATCTGCCTCCTGGGATGGCCTAGCTTTTAGGTGGACCCCAAAGAATACTTTCTTCAGGTATTTTTTTTTAAAGCAGTCTTTCTCAACAGGCCGGAGCTCTGAAGTTACAGTTTGAAAGAAGTTTGGGGAAGAGGAGGAGGCAACCCCTGTAAGCTGCCGTCTATTCAAACATTTCCCACTCCCAAGACCACGTGACACCGTCTCTCCTAACAGCACCTGTCAGGCATCACCCAGCGAAACCCCAAAGCTGCATCAATCATGGTAAGAAGGAAAGAAAGCGACTTCACCCAAGCCTTATATGGCATCTGCCTTTCAACAATGAACAGTCCCGCTTCCTGTTGGTGGGTAACCCTGAGCAGCTCGAAAGCACAATGATAGGAAGACGCTAAGCGTACAACAACAAACGAAGGAATAAACATGCCCAGGTTTCTCTCTAAACCACCGTGTGTGGCTGGCTGGGCTGCGGTGTGTTACTTACATTGCTATGCAACGGGGGAAAAAATAAAGGCGATTTCAGGGAAGGGCATGGAACTATGCTATGCAATTTGATTACAGTGTCCAAATTTAGACCCGACAGGTATTGCGAAGGGTTTCTTTCATGTTAGACACCAACCATGATAACAGAAATTAATTTAGTGGGGTTCATGGCTAGGCTTTATTTATTTATTTTTTTAAAATCCAATGGTGATTACAGCCAGTGGCCCTGGGCCAGGAGTGCTGGGCCAGCCCTGGCCGGGTCTAGTTGAATGCTTATAAAATCAGGAGCACTGTCTAAGGCAACTTCAACCAACCTGCCTGAGGAGGGTGCAAATGATTGGTTAAATTTCAGATCCACAAAGCAGGCCCCGCCCGGTGAGTTCCTGGCAGGAAAGGAGTGCTGTCACCGGGGACCTTATGCCTCAGAAGGGCAGGCGCACAGCATCCAAGGGTGTGTGCACACATGACCCTGAGTCCCAGCTGAAGCCTCTCCTTCCAGGAAAGCTGTCTCCCCCCTCAACCCTCCGCCCCTTCCCCAAACCTCCCACAAACCCCTCTAACCAGGAAAAAACAACTTCAGAAACTGGGGTGGGGCTTCTCTGGAATCAGGTTCCCTCAGTGACCGTGGAGGGAGATATCTAGATAGTTTATCCCAAACAATCCCTTTCCCTAAATCATTAGGTACCTGTTCCAGTTCGCCCCTTTGCCTCTGGTTGTGCAAGTACAGATGTGGGAGGCTGCCTGTGACGTGGGAAGGCTGCCTGTGGC